TGTATTGAAACAGTATACCACTGTTTTGGGCATAGCGCGCCCACGGATTAGCACCGCGGACAATAGTGCTCCAAGGCCCCATTGATGTGCAACACAGCACTGCTGCTTGCTAATCCAGCCACGTATGAAAAGACGCTACTGGCATTCACCAGAATGAAGGAAATTATGCAACACCTCACAATTCTGGGCTCTCTTTTACAAGGCTGCAAGCCTGGCTGAATACTCGGGTGTCAATGAAGGTTGCCTGTCAGATTAGAGTAGCCACCAGACAGTCCTTCGTGTGTGTGTAAACTTCCAGTAAATGAACACATGAATTTTTGAAGAATTTTGAAAACAGAAAATCTTGAAAATCTCCTGGTTTTACATCAAGCAACTTTGAATTACACCCGGCAGCAAGTGGTTAATCAAGTGATTTTTCAATCAAAGTCCCGTCATCTCGTCCCGCTAAAAAAAAATCCACCCAGCAGGAAGTGGTTAAAAATGGAGGCCACACATATAAGCGATTGTCGAGATTTTCAGTTTTCAGAATTCTTCAAAAATTCATCATTTCATTTAGTGGACATTTACACCCACACAAATGACTCTTTGGGGGTACTCTAAGCTGACAGGTAACCTTCATTGACTCCTGAATATTTCAGCCAGGCCTGCCTCCCTGTAAAGAGAGTACAGAATTGTGAGGTGTTGCGTAATTTCCTTTGTCCCTAGGGAATGCAAGTGGCGTCTTTTCAAACACGGCTGAATTTAAAAACAGTGACGGATTACTTTCAAAAAATGCAAGCCGAAAAATGATGGCAATTCCCAGCAGCAGGTCTTTTGTTCTGAGTATGGTCTTTTGTTACCCAGACCAGCTCTTTTGTCCCTTTTCGGGCTCTGCGTATAAACCCATAGTGCTCGAAACAGGGTACCAGCAGCAAGTGGTTAAACATTTGGCCAAAAATTGACTTGTTTGGTTCCCGAACCAACTACCAGTTTAAACCTTTTGTGTCATGGTATCCGGACCCAGAGGCGGTAGCCTGTAATGCATTCTCATTTTCGGGGTCAGTTTATGTATTTTGTGCCTCCCTTCCATTTTCACTCATTGACAGAATCAAGCAGAAGATACAGGACAAATCCACTGGAGTTTTGATTTTTCCACTTTGGCAGACACAACATTGTTTCCCGAGACTCCTGCATCTATTGGTAACACACCCAATTATCATCCCAGGAGTGCCAAGTCTACTCCACTACACACATGTACCCAAACATCACTAGAGAATCAACTGGTCTTGACAGCAGCAGTTTTATCAGGTGGTCACTCCAAGCAAGAGGACTTTCAGATAGGGACTGTTCGTGTCATCCCTCAAGCCTGGAAACCAGGCACGCAGAAACAATATAACTCAGCCATATACAAATGGCTTCACTTCTATGCTTAACGGATGCTCCATCCAATACCTCTTTAAATTCTGAATTACACTTTCTAGCATCAGTAGTGGATGATGATGCAGAATACAGCATGATCAACACAGAAAGGAGCGCGCAAGGAGTGTCATCATTGTTGTGGTCTTCATAAGACTTTCATGTCAAATTTTGGGCTCACCCACTGGTCACACGGTTTATCCGAGGTGTGTTTAATTTGAGACCACAATTACCTAGATATTCTCACATATGGGATGTTAGTCATTTGCTTAATTATGTCAGTGAGTTAGAACCTATACATTCTCTAAGCCTGAAACAGTTGACCTTAAACTGGTTTGTTTGTTAGCATTGACTACAGGTCAGAGGACACAAACTTTGTCATTATGTGATATATCCAACATGATGCTTTCAAATAAACAGGTTAAAATTAAGATCACGACGTTAATTGAGACCTCAAAACCTGGTAAGCCGCAACCAGTTTTGATTCTGTCACCATATCCACAGAACAGTAAGGTTTGTGTAGTCTGGACGTTGTTGTAATACTTGAAACGAACCAACCCTATTCATAGGATTTCTAAGCTTTTCGTAAGTTTGCCACCTCACAAAGCACTAAGTTCCGCAACCATTGGCCGATGGTTGAAAATATGCTTAAATAATGCCGGTATCAACATCACTATCTTTGAGCCTCACAGCTTCCGGTTAGCTTCGACATCAGCAACCGCAAATAAATGTATTTCGATAGATTCCATTTTACAAACAGCAGGATGGACGTCGGAAAAAAACTTTGCCCTATTTCATAACAAAGACAGTGTTGCCATGAACAGTGAACGAGAAGTAGATTTTGCCAAGGCAGTGCTTGGCTGAGATTTATTTATTTAAGGCAGTTATAACTCCTTGTAGCGGTCCATGGAACTGGACCAGACCATTGTTTTTCTGTTGTGAGAGCCAACTTCTATATTAATTACGGTTGTACTGTAGATTCAGTTGTCGCTCTAGGGGCATCTTCACTAAGGCATATAGAGCCCATGTTGATGAAATTTCCCGTTCTGTGTATTATTGTAATTTTGAAATGTACATGTTTCAGTGTAAAACCTTAGCGGCACAGAGTCGGATTACTGGTATTACATAATGCAAAGGAACCCACTAGCTATGTTTATTGAGAGTGATTTTGAATTGATCCAAATTATTCACACTTAGCCTTTCTTAATTTAATACTGCTCGCATTAAAAATTTGATCAAGTGTTCAGCCTTGATGTTTTTCCGTTGTAGGTATCCTTCACATTACACAGACTAGCTTTGAAATCTCACGTGATCCAAATGGAGGTAACTGCGAGGTAGAATCTCCCAATTAAACAAGTGAAATGATGTTTGATTGGGATTCTGCTGAACTGTCAACAAAATGAGGAATCATGTGACACCCTCCTGATTGATCCATTCTTATATCTCTGGTTTGGCTGTATTGCCCACCTCTTTCCAGTAGGCCTTTGTAATTGTCTTCAAACACTGAGGAGATGGCATGGGGAGGGCTCTTATATAGAGGGAGTCGCAATCACTTCCTTTGTTATACTTTGAATGCGTGGTATGTTTCCTTCACCAGACAATACAATCTCACGCGATTCCTCATTTCGGTAACAATTCAGCGGAATCCCAATCAAACATCATTTCACTCCTTTAATTGGGAAATTTTTTCCCACATATCCGCCTAACTATAAAGCCCTTTTGAGACTTACCTTGTGGTTTGACGATTACAAATCTTTGGTATTTGTGGTTCAACAAAATGGCTACAGAGATGACTAACAAAGGACTGTTCGCAGGACCTCTGCTAATCTGCCAACAATGGGCGTGTGCAGAGCAAGGTTTTTATGTATTCTCTACATAAAAGAAAAACCCTAGCAACAAGGCTAGCTCTATAAACACTTCGACGTGTATATGAAAAATTGACTTATCACGTTTTTTAACTTGAAAAATTAACCTATCGTTAAGTTTTCACATTTTTTATTCTAACAAAAGATTTTCATGTATTCTCGCTTCATTGTGATTTACTAGCACATATACTACCACTACCTTTGATAAGTTTTGATAAAATCTTTTTTATACATCAGCATTGTCCCAAAATATACTGCAATAAGCATAAGTAATGTCTGCTGTCTTGAGTACTTTGATTACATTCATACCATGTAATCTGGATTTTCTGTGCAAGTATTTTTTGCAGTCTCCAGCTGTGGAATGACCTGATGTGTGGTGGTGTTCTCACCTGCACCTCACATATGTACCCCAACTATGCTAAAGCTTGTCACAGAATGTGAGATATGCTTAACATGACTAGTCTGAGTATTTTCAAGTTGAAAGTTAGTGAAACTTCTTTTTCTTCCCATTTAATTTCTATACCCCATTGAGTATTCACAAATGCCTTATTTCTTGCCACAGTAGAAAGCCAAGGAACTATCAAGGCAGACAACCTTACAGAATAATGATAATTCTCAGTGAGAGCCAGGGTTGGCTGATTTAAATCACCGATTAAAATCATGATTAAAATGAAATGATTTTTTAAATCATAGATTCAAATCAACACTTTCAATTTTGGGGGGGCAAATTGTTTCAGTGTTTAAATTTTTTCAACTGATTGGTAATTTTGAAGGATTTGCACATTTTATGCGGAAAATCCCCCCTCTTTGATTCTTTCAGTTCCTATTATTGATAAGTATTCGTGCATTTGCATAGGTATTACGCACAATCTGGGTTTGCAGGAATTTTGGTTTGTTCGTTTGTTTAATTCAACCACTTGTTTCACATCAGCTTTTTGGATTCAGTCAATGAAGATCTGAAATGCTCATAATGAAGTGATTTTTTAATCTAGCCTAAGTCATTACTTTGTTTTTCTCTCAGTTATTTGATACACAAAGGAGTACCTTGTTAACAAATTCTTGTGAACTGTAGTTCTGTTAAAACTTAGAGTTCAGTGCAAAACCTTGTACACACTTTATCCTTAGTATATGTACCTGTCTCTGAAGGAAGTGTCTTCTCTGCAGGAACATGTACTGGTACATGTAGGTTCTATACTTCATGCATTTCACCTGTGCTTAGACAATAGTCAAAGTGGTTTGTGAATTTAATCAAATTACTTGAATAAAATTTCCTTATTCAAAACCAAATGTGTTTAATTTGTAACAAAAGAGATAAATAAAGCAAAATTAATACATCTGCAGCTAATTTCCTTGCTTTTGAAAGATAATTGAGCCAACCTGTCTCCAATTTTTATAAAACATTTTTAACAATTGGATTGAAATTTGTAAAACCTCCAATTTTTTATATATATTTAAAAAATTGCCAACCCTGCTGAGAGCATAATACAATTAATTCTTTCATGCTGTAGAGAAAAAGAAAAGATGCTTTTTGAGTTGATGTTTAAATATTTCCAATTTATGAAGTGGTTTGGAAATACAGGTTTTCATACAGATGCAAGCTCTTAACCATCTCAGCACTTAAAATTCACTGCTTTTGACTATATTAGCATAGGCTGCCTCAGTCATGAATTAAATTAATGTATGAATCCATACCCTTAACCACATCATCCTATACTGTACTCTTGTTTTTGGTAACTGCAGGCCCAGATGAAAGCTAATGAAGCCAAGCGCAAGGCAGATGATGCGACTGCTGCTGTCCAGGATGCTCTAGATGATGTCAGACGATTGATGGATGAACTTAGTGAGCCAAAAGTTTTCTAAGAACCATTTCTCTGTGGTTATTTTACAGTTCATATCAAATTCAGACTTAACATGGACAAAGGCCCAGGTCTGAAGACTTTTCTTGAACCATTGATGTACTGTACTGGCGCTTCAGCATGCAGCACCTTCATGGTTGGAATGTCAGCGCTGTGGTGCGGTTTATACACTGGTGTGGCTTATACGCTGATTTCAAATCTTAATTTGCCAATTTTTGCGTGCTGCGGCTTATACACCAGGCGGCTTATATTCTGAAAATGACAGTAATTAAATGAAGTTATGTAACAATGACTTCATCATCTGGTTTATTATTACCGTTTGAAGATATAGTAGGTCCCTTTTGACATTTCTCTGAAATCACAAGTCCGATTTTGGTGGAAATGTATATTCACAGTTGGGTATTGTTGTCCATGACTTTTACTTTTTTCAATGACATCACTGTAATGATGCACTCCTAAAACTCCAATATCTCAGGAACTAAGTGCCTGATAAGAGATAAGTGCCTGATAAGAGATAAGTGCCTGAATGTTAAAGGCTGACTGTTGCATTCGACTTTCACTTGGCATCTCTTCGTAAATACACCCAATTCTTAATATCTAGGGAGTTACTCAGTAAAACAGGTCGCTTGTTACCTATGTTTAGAGGCAGAAAAGAGTTATATGTTAAAAAAGTGCAGACATATGGTGACCTTACCCTCTGTGACATGTCAATATTGGTACCTTAAAGGTGCAGTCTTCACAGGCAAGTATCCACAGAACTGTACATATTTTAATTTTATTTAAAATCTAAATTGAAAAAATATTGTTATTATAGGAAAGATACGGAAGTCCAATCGTGCCAGGTTTTTAAAGTACATATTTTTTTTTAATTGCAAAATAACGCGATAGATTTGCAAAATAACGCAATACTATTGCAAAATAACGCTGATTAGGTTGTCATGATTACTGTTGTTTTGTTGATTGTGTTGGCCTCCATTGATAATGATAATAATAATAGTAAGCATTTAGTGAGCGCTGTACTAAGAACACAGTGCTTTACAAATGAAAGTAATAATTTAAAATTAATTAAACAGTTAACATACAAAAATATAATGAAGTTGGAACAGATAGTAAACTAAATGTGTTTGAATGCCCTCAGTCCGGGAACAAGAACATTTTGAGGAGGCGTTTGAAGACAGGGGTTTACGCCACTTCCCTGATGTCACATGGCAGCTGGTTCCATAGTTTTGGAGCAACAACAAAGTAAAAATTATCTCCAGCTTTTCTGGTGGAGCGTGGGACAACTAGCCGAGTGACATCAGATGAAGACCAGAGTCTACGACCTTCTTCCAGGCAACCAGTATTGTACAGGTTGAGATGTTCAGATAAATAGCTGGGTGCCTCTCCATGAATAGACTTGTAAACATAAAGAAGGATTTATAACTTAATTCTTTCTCGCATTGTCAACCAATGAAGAGATCAAGGTAACTGAACTGAGCTGTTTTCTCTGCCACATGCGACCACAAGACGCACCGCTTTATTTTGCAGGTACTGCAGACGCTGGAGATCAACTTCCCGGGCACCATACAACAACTAGTTTGTGTAGTCAATGCGAGAAAGAACTAAAGCCCGTACATTGTGAAGACAAGACTCCCAAGTCGGAAATCAGCGAATACGCCACAGATTACGGATATGAAAGTTTACACTTTTGCAAATGGAATTAATATGACTGGTCATGGACAGCAATGAATCAAACAAAACACCAAGGTTTCTAACAGTAGCGGATAGGTTAATGGCTTTGTCCCCAATTTTAAGCTGAAGAGCAGGTAGGGAGTTCAGGTTCCTAGTGGAGGCAATAATACAGAATTCAGTCTTATCCTGATTCATCTGTAACCTATTGTGCATCATCCACGCATTGATCTTTATAATGCACATGGAGAGGTTAGTGAGGGCTCTATCACAATCACCAGGAACCTTAGCCTCAAATTCCACATAAAGTTGAGTGTCATCTACATAAACATGAAAATTTATATTGTGATTATATTACCAACTGGGTGAGTGTACATAATGAAACATTGTGGTCCGATGACAGAGCCTTGTGGCACTGAAAATTTTAAGACAAGTTCAACTGACTGAGCATGCCTAACAAACACTCTCATACGCCGATTATCGAGGTATGATGTAAACCATGTCTTCACTGTTCCTGAAATTCCAAACAATCTTCCAAGCCTGTCAACAAGGATTTGATGGTAATCATCTTAAGGAACACAAGGTTTAAAACCCTTGTAAGCTTTTACTTCTCTTTTGGTTTAAGGTATTCTGACATTGTATGGTTTCTAGCTGTGAATCACTGTGTTATTGTAAGTTTAAGAACATTAAAGCGACATTTGTCACAATACGGACTATTTTTTAGAAGACATGTCAACATAAGTCGTCTATAGTCGATGTTGCTCTGTTTTTACTGGAGCAAACATAAGAGTCTGGATTTCAAAATGGAAACTGATGGATGCATTGAACAAAAGGGCTTATTGGCAGGATTCACCATTTCAAGATCAGGGCCATTTTCCAATACTCGCCTTTGTGTCCGTCTCAGGCTTCGTTCCCCAAATTAATCCCCGATTGTGGGCCTGAAGCATTTAAATTACATTGGATTACTCTAATTGTTGGATTTCTTGCATCTTATTTGATGTTCTGTGGCACTATTAGACTGATTACACCTTCAAAGTCAGCTAGTAATAAAAACAGTTGAAGCCTGAGACGGAGCCAAAGTTTGAGTATTGGAAAAGGGCCCAGATGTTGCCTTGCTGCTCTCGGTTTTGGACAGCTAACAAAAGAGGGCGCTTTCTTCGTGTATATGTATTTCGCAAAACTATTGCGTTATTTTGCAAAACTATTGCATTATTTTGCAATAAAAAAATATGTACTTTAAAAACCTGGCACGATTGAGCATCCGTAGAAAGATCTGGTAAATGCTTGCAATTTTTATTGTGCCAAAGGATACAAAAGCCTTTTGTTCTCCTGTGCAGAAGACAGAAAGAGTTCTACTTCTTTATCTTGGACATGAGACTGAGGATACTATGTTTTGTAGAGACAGAGATTTACCAAAGTACATGTATTGTGCGTACAGTGACATGAAAAAATTAGGGAGAATATTTTTAGCTTTCTTTGAATTGATTGAGATGCCTCTACATTCAACTTTGCCAAGTGACAATTTCTCTCTGAATGCCATTACCCAAGGTTTATTATAAAGAAGAATGGATGACATCCGCATTGGATAGTTTTGAACCAGCCACTGTTTCTCTTGACTTCTGTCCACAGATGCTCTGAGTCCCGTCGATCCTAACCGCCTCCAAACCATCGAAGACGGCTTTATCAATGTCAAGCGTACTTATGAGTTTGACCTTAACATTGATCAAATTATGCAGCGCCTGCGTGATGCTGAACAGCAGCAGCAGGGCTGGATCAACACCTACCAATTCTCCTTGGATGACCTTATTGCTCAGGTGGAGAATATACAGGATATAAGTAACTCCCTTCCTGACTTCTGTCCTAACTTTGACAGGTTGGAAAACAATGGTAGGCGTTAAACTCTGGGTTTTTGTGTGGTGATTATCTTAGCTGCCTCACCCTATCTTGAACTCCTTATTTAATGTTTGGTTTTAATTTAGTCTTGTTATTAACATTATTTCCCACGACAGTTCCCCTGATGAGGTAACAATTATCTAAAGTATGCGTGTTTTTTTTAAATATCATAAAAGCAGAATATTTTAAACAAACCATACAAGCATTGTGAACTTATGTGTCATTCATCTTCACGGATTTGAATGCTCACCATTTTGATTTCATTTTTAGTGGATTTAGTATGGATTGAATTTTTAGAATTTCTAATTCTGTAAAAGAGCAGTCTATATCATGGATAAAGAATACAAAAGTTCAATTACAAAGTTAAGAGATTGCTTATTTGTATCTAATTTTTAGTTTGATGTACTATGGTGTAACTCATAAAATGTGTTGGGTTGGGGATTTTGGTCACAGCAAAGGTACTGTAATTGGCATGTTATTACTTTCAAAGAATGATTCCTTATACACATACAAAAAGTGGGTCCCATAGTTATATGGTAGCAAAATGTCATTTAAATCAGTGGAGCAAGAATTTCATGCATTGACAATACAAACTATGCAATTTTTATACGGGGAAGAGTAAATCTGCACTTTTTTTCATTTATTAGTTCAGTGAGCATTTTAAAATTATTTTAACATGAATGTAGACAGGCATGGAATTTTTAATGCCTAGTTTTGTAGACCGTGGGAGAATTTTAAGGGTATACTTGTATGAATATAGAAAATACTTCTTAGACATGTTATTTATTCAAGTGAAGAAAAACTCTTAATTAGTGTTTGTTTTTCTGTGTTCAATTTGGTTTTGGAAAATCAAATTGTTTGATATTAACATTTGATTCATAACAAAAGGTATCAGTAAGCAATGATCAACTGCTGTGTATCTGGTAATGGTGCTGAATTTCAAATTTAACTTTTAGCTTTAATTTGAACATAATGACACTTTAAAACAGACTTTCTTAGTCCCCCGTCTTATCAGAAAGACAGAGTCACTATGAAAGAGGCATATAACATCAATAAAATTATGATTTGGTTTCACAGTTCACGGTGCTAAACATAGTGTTTCATGATATTGTGCTGATCTACTTTGTATATAGAATACTGCCTATGCATGCACTATTAACATAGTTTAGACTTAATTTTTGCTAACCAATAATCAAAAAAGCCCAGTCTTACAACACCCAGATCAGTGCAAAAAGTGCCTTAATACATACGACTACATTTTCTAAATGAGACTATATTTGTCATGTACCAATTTTTGGCAACACCAGCTGGGGGCTGTAATAGACCGATTGTGGCCACTAATCGTGACCTATAGTGGGTATCAACCCCATAGCAATGTGTGTTTTGAGTGTTATTTACAAATAATACAGCCAAGTCATGGTATAGAACCCACTATAGGTCACGTGAGTTAGCGGGCGCAATCGGTCTATTGGTTTGCAAGAGCACTGCACAGAGTTAGTTCTGGTGACTAGTAATGTTTCTTTCAAAATATTTGGTTATGGGTGACAAGAATAGCTGCTTCCATGTAGCACCCATTTCTACTTCTGATAAATGTTTGCTCTATGACAAGCAGTGTTCACACATGGCCCGAGTCAAATAATTGTACTTTGGAAGAGCAAGGTATATTAAATAATGGTAAACTTCGTGGCTGTCTTTTCAAATAGAGGGAGAGCAGCAATAGTTCCAGAAGGGTTCAGAAGTTTGAATACGCAAAATGGGATTTGCAGCATTTACACTGTCTGATTGTCCTTGAAAGAAAAAACATATTTTTGTGCTGTCTTTCTGAAAAGTAAATCAAGATTTGCACCTCTGTCATTCTGAGATAATTGGTTTGACAAACAATTTGCTCTTTGCACACTGCCATCATAGGCATGCATAGCCTCAATCTTGATCTTTATACAAGCCGGTTCAGTGATTCCCATGTATGTTGCTTTGTGATTTTTGCACGTCAAGCATCAGCTCTTATACCATGCGATTGGACAATATTTGAAACCTCGGTTGACAAGACTCTGACTAGATTCTACAAGCTGCCCGATCGAGGCTCTGCCTATGGTGGCAGCGTGCAAAGAGCAAATAGACAGTCCCATAAGAATACCTACATTGTGTGGGCTGTATGCAACTGTGCCCTCAACAGTTGGTAGATGCTTGAACATCATCAATATGGCCTATGTTGGCCATGATTGTGTACATTTACATGAAAATATTCTTAGTCTTGCAGTGAGCACCAGATATGTAAGAACTAGTGTGATTGTTCACTGACCTTCTTGTTTGGTAATTCACTGTTTCTTGTGCATGCAGGAAACCCATTGTTCAAGAATTCTTCATGAGTGTTATATTATTCATTGCATAAATTGTCAGCAAAATACTAGTTATTGTAATGTAACTGGTATAACCTTAGAAACCCCACTTTCATCAAGTACTGATATTTTATGTTCAGGCCGTTTTTTGGTGTGTTTTTTTTTTAGAATAAAATATTTTGATAACTGGGAAACTGGCTCCTGACACGTGTGTCATTAAGCGTTAACCACATCATGCTAACATCGATTCTCAAGCTTTTCGATTTTTGTCTCAAATTCACAGGTCTTCAATGAACGACTAAATTCTGTGCTTGGTTCACCAAATTTGCCCAAAATTTTGCTGAAAACTGACTCAATTCTACAAACTTACAGAATTTATTCATATCCTCTTTAAATTAAGTGCTGCACTAGTCTCCCTCTACAATTTGAAGTTGGTAGAGCTAAAGTGTGTCATCAACTCCCAAGGAACGAACCTTCGGTCGAATTGACCTAGTGCACTTTGTCTTTATGCAGGTTTTTCTTTGATTTCAGTGGCTTTGTTCTCCAGGCAGTCCATCAGGACCCGCATCTCTTCCTCTGTGCATCGTGTGAAATCCATGTTGGGCAGGTAACAGTGTGTAACCTTTTGATCTCAAAAATAAAATGACTTTTGACCTTTCGTAGTTGTATGGAACGAAAGCACTTGTTAAATCAATCATAAACCTATACAGTAACTTGTATACATGTCATGGCCTTCAATCCTGAAACAATCTGAAGTTTGCTATTGCAAAGCACAATTTTGATTTAATTGAACTTGAATTTGCAGGCATGTACTGGTTTCGTTCCTGTGATAATTGATGGATTCCACTACAGAAAGCAACTCACTTCAGTTTACCTACATTGGCACATCAGCACACACGCTAAGGGAAACTCGCTGAAAAAGTTGCCCAAGCTACACCCTCCGTACACACTGCCTGCATGTCCCTTCAAAGACTGTTCCTATTTATTTTATCAGCTGTTTCAGTGTTTCGGCAAAACAGCTCTTGATTCGTTAAATTTTTTAGGTTCTCTTTCTAGCTGTTACGGCAAGTCAGCTGAAATAGCTATTGTCTTCTGATTTTTTTTTTTTTAGCTGTTTCGGTCCCCGGCCGAAGCAGCTTCTGTTCTTCTTAAGATTTTTTTTTCTTTTCATTTTATTGGCTTTTCTGCAAATTGTTGAAAGGCACTCTTTTTGTCAAGGTTCTTTTGGCTTTTTAACATTCTTTCTGTTCTGTTTTTTTTTTGTTTTTCTTCTTCTGACCAACAGTCCATTCAATTTGTGCAATTTTTTTCTACACACCACTTTGGCCCTTTTGCAATTATGGATCTTCATCAAGCTTATACCAATGAAGGACCCTCATGCATAGATGTGCCTAGAATATTGATGTCATGATGAAGTCATCATGTGATTTATTAATTTTTAAATATTTAATCTATTGTGGTACCTTATTAACTGTTGATCGTCGTCAGAGTTATAGCAAGCACTAACTATAAAACGAAGATAATTCTGAAATATTTGTCATGATGACATCATCAAGTTATTTATTATTAAATTTTGAATATTTAAATATTTCATTTGATTTATACAAATCCATATAAAATCAACCGTGGCCTCCCGCAAAATTCTGTTTGCAGCAAGTGGCAGAATAAAATGTGGTCTTGAATTCATCTCGTGTGAGTCAAATCACACTTCACAATAAGACCACTTCTAGTCAAACCCGGAAGTGGTCTTATTGTTTAAAAGTGGTAATAGGTATCAAGTTGTTTTCAACAATGTTAGTCTGTTGGGGATACACTGTAGTATTCTTTAAATCATCTACTGATGACATCACCTAATTGTCGAGCGCCCTGTAGCGACAGGTTATCAATTCCGAAAAATGCATTTTGAATAGATGTCTGCAGCGAAGTTTGAAAAGCTTGAAAATTGATGTAGATGACCATCTTTACCCAGTCAGCACGTGTGTGAAGTTTGGGGCTAATGACGTCATCAGACCGGAAGTTACAATCAAAACCTCTTGTATTCTTCAAAACCGTAAGCGATATACGCGTGAATTGTGCACGAGATGACAGCTAAAACATTGGAGTCAGCTGCATGAAGTGCGTAACCGGTGTACTTTTTCACATGCATGAAGCGCCGTCGACCAAAAACCCTTATAATATAAATTGCCTGCTCGAAATCCCATTCGCATACTGTGCATTGGCTATTGTGTGTGTGGACGCCCAATAGCTGTCTGTAACATTGGTGGCGCATAGGGCATATTCTCGGGACTTGGCAAATTGCCGAGCACGTGGTGGAGAGAGAGTGGATCGCATTGTATGGAATGCCAGAAGGGACAAACTATAATGTTTTGTTTTGTATATTGTATTGTACATGTCTTATTGGGTTGAAACCTTGCAGGTAGTTAGGAAGGGAAGGTTTACAAATGGAAATTGACCTCGTGATGACAATATCATCAGCAAACGAGTCACATGACATTAAAAGTGCCTCGTTTAAAGTAGTATATTTCCTGAAGTGCATATCCAATTGGGTTCAATTCTTGGAGATATCTTGAAAGGGGGGTGCTTTAGAGGTATAATGACCTCATGTGATGGTGATGTCATCAGGAAACAAGTCACATGACATTAAGGGTGCACTCTTTGAAACCATATATCTCCTAAAGTACATGTCCAATCGGGTTCAAATCTTGCACATATCACGCATATGCCCTTACGTGATGATGACTTCATCACGACACAAGTCATGGGCCATTTAAGATGCAGTTTTCAAAGAACTGTACCTCTTGAAGCACATCTTTTTGGTTAAAATCTATATATGTAAGTGTATGAATATGAACATTTTGTGCTATGCCAACAAAGCACTTTTCTTCACAACCACAAAAAGACGAAAAAGCCCTGTGTTCTGTCCTTGAGACAGACGCAGTTCTCCTCCTCCTCAATGTTCTTCTGCCTAAAGCCCCTTCCTTTTGTACAGGGTTTTTCTGCACGGTACTTTTTTCCCTTTGCAAGCTCGTATCTTCATCAAAGTTGCCTCAAGCAAAGACCCTATGGCAAAGATGTGCCGCGAAGCATGGCGTCATGGTGATGTCATCATCAGATTTTTAATTGAATTTTGAATATTTAATTTTTCCCCATTTGTTTGTACCTGTTTTTCAACTGCCAGAATGGCATGGACTTCGGCCACTCCACAAAATGAAATTCGGTCTCACCAAAGACTATACAGCATAGATGGTAATGGAAGAATGGCGTTACTTTGCCATCATGATTTATTATTTAATTTTGAAGATTTAATTTCTCCCATTGATTTTGTACACCTTTTGAAACCCATGTATACAAGTGCCGTTTTGCTAAGCGTTTGTGCATGTCCATACTTTTTGCGATCAGCTGTTCCGTTTTCCAATACTGAAATTCGACTCCATGTCAGACTTCAATTGTTTTTTTACTCGATGACTTTAAAGCTGTAAACGCAGTAATCAGTCTAAAGGTGCCACAGAACATCAAAGAGAAATGGTAATCGGATGTAATTTAAACATTTCAGGCTCACAATCGGGGATTGGTTTTCGGAATGAAGCCTGTGACGGAAACGAAGTCGAGTATTGGAAAACGGCCCCAATCTGTGCGATCAGTAGATATAAGGGCTGTAGCAAAGTCTTATTGCATGATATAATTTGGCTAGAAAGTTGTGAAAAATTCCTGCAAAATATCGAGGGAAATGAACTCGGATATTTTATGTCAGGCCTCAACCAACTGTTTAAAGCATTTCGTCCATGCACGTATCGACCATTTGCGCGGTCACAACCCAACACCAGGACAATATTTTCGACATGCACATGTGTTTTCTCAGGACCTCTCTTGGGACCCCGTAGACGTGAATTTGCACCAATCGAGTGCTTCATGGGCTTTTCTTGATTAGAGGATTCTAAGGTATTTCCACAGAAGCTGAACTTAAACCAAATTCATGCACCAGAGCAAGAAATTGCCGAAGTATCCGGATTTGACAGGGAACACACTCTCGTGATCACCGTATTGATCGTTAGCATGGGTGTACCCAACGGTAGGCAATCACACGTATGGGGCCTACATGTACATGTACGAGTACTCGGACGGTATAGTGCAGCAGGCAGCCGGGTTTGGAAGCTGGATGGATTGAAGTGCTGGAACTGGTTCTGGTAGGCAATAGCATTTAGAAACATTCTCAGTTGCTTGCAAGTTCTTGTCTGCACTTTCTGTGCTCTGTAGCTCTGGAAAGTGATGTTAGGGGAAACAGATTACAGGAATTAGCTCTAAGTTTGCATTGACATATCCTGAGTGACACCTGACCATGTCCAAATCATTAAAAAGGCGATTTTCTGAGTTCGAGTTACTCAGACCATAGCTCTGACCAGCATTGACAATTATTATATACATGTAAATCCTATGTGTTCAGCACAATCCAGAGATGAACTTGCACATACTCATTATACTCCCTTCTGAGCTCATTATTCGATGATTTTAGTGTGATGGGTTTTATTCCAAGGTAAATCAAATCAGAATTTGCGAAAGATTTACGATTATGCTGAACATGGACATTGAACTGACTAAAGTCCCCTAAAACACTCACCGTGCACCTATGCTTCTAGAAGACAAACCATGTAATTACGGGGTCATGGTGTATCCAAAATTGTTTGAAGTTTGAATGTAGATCTATGGTTATTTACATGTACATGTAAGCTGATTATATAGAATGTTTAAATTTCCTTGTGTTTTATGTGTATAGGTATCATTCATGTTTCTTGCTTGAGTGAAACCTAGAGAAAATCTGTTTTCCTTGCTAGATCAGAACATTGGAATTCAACATCACTGAAGTTACATGGAGGTAGCAGAGTCCCGGGTAGCCACGATAAAGGAAGCTGCTGTGTTTATAACCAAGCAAGGAAATTAACAGGTAATGGCAAAAATGCCTACTGTGGCACTGACATGCAAGCAGATTGCCTGTTCTGATTATTGCAATCATGAAGCACAGTTTGTGTGTGCGGGTGCAGGTGGGTTTGTTTCTGCATTCAATTGGGGACCCTGAACAATAAAGGACAAAGGTCCTCAATTGATAACTGTGTACAAAACGTATGGGTGGTCTTCTAAAACAGACAAGAGTACAAAGAGAAAAGGAACAATAGGGGGTCCCCAGTTGCAGGCACTTTTGTTTGTGTGATATGGGGGTCCATGTACCGCCATCATGAATGGTTCCCTCATCAACATCCACGTGCCTGGTCCCCCACTTTAACGTTCAGGTCCCCATGTATTTCCCATTTAGTGAGAACCCAAGGTTGCTACATACATGTATGCCGTTAAATAAATATACACATGTACGTTTACACCATATTATTGTGTCCAAGTTCTGTTTCACTTTTCCATTCATCAACACATGAAGTGGTGCACCTGGTATAAATCTTTTCCTTTTGCGATGATGCAGATGTTCATCAGCACATGAGGGGAGGATTCATTCATGTTAAATGTCCCTGGTTTCATTGATGCTTGCAGTTGAAGCAGAAGGACTAAGCCATAGAACAGTGAAAAGAGCTTCATCGAAGTACTCGTAACAAGATTGTGTGAAAAGCTGCAATCGACAGGAAGTCCACTAACTTGTATGTGTACATGTAACCATTATAATTTTCTGAGAGACAACTGCTAAACAATTTCCAAACTGGTATCAGAAGAATAGTGTAAACATTTCAGCATTCATAAGATCCCAATATCTTCAATTGATCCCTATGTTATTTGAAGTGTCTGGAAATCTTCAGGACAGAAAAGAAGTCAGCAGTTTTTATATGATACACTCAAGAAAAATGCTCTAAGACATGACAAAGGCAGTTTTTCTCCTTCATATTTTCAAAACACAATGTGCATATTTCATTGTTATTCCCCAAAGACAAAAACATTTAATTACTGGTTCACAGTGTTTGATTATTTACATGATTACGTACATGGAAGCTGTTCAATTTCTTTCTTTGCCTTCTGTGCATAGGTATCCTTCATGTTCCTGCTGAAGTAAAAGCATTGGGATTCAACATAACTGCAGTTACATACATGTAGATGTCAGAGGCTTGGGTACCCATGATAAAGGAAGCTACTGCATAACCAACCAAGGATATGGTGTAAAGGCCTACTGTTGCATTGATATATACAAGTAGGCATATTGCCAGTTCTGATTAATACAGACATGAAGCCAAGTTTGTGTGTGGGGGAGTTTGTTTTTGCATTCAATGGGGACCCTGAACAATAGCGGACAATAAGGTCCTCAATTCACACAGGGTCCTTGATTGACAACCGTGTGCAAAATATATGGGTGCTCTTCTAAAAAAGTTGAAGTTCAAACAAGTGAGGAACAATAGGGGGTCCCCAGTTGTAGGAAAATACATACGTGTATGGGGGGGGCATCCATGTACCGCCATCATGAATGGTTCCCTCATCAACACCCATGTGACCGGTCCCCCACTTTACGATTCAGGTCCCCACATACTCCCCATTTAATGAGAGTCCAAAAATATATGCTCACATGAGCGATGTTTGTGTCCAAGTTGTGACATCAGTTTTTTAAGCATCAACACATAAACTGGTGCACCTGTGATGTTTTCCCTTTTTGCGATGATACAGATGTTCATCTGCAGAGACACGAAGGCAGTCTTCATACATGTTAGATGTCCCCGGTATCATTGAGGGAAATGCAGTTAAACCAGGACTGATCCACAGAATGGTGAGAACAGCTACATCAAAGTACTTGTAACAAGAATATCTACAAAAATGCAATTTACAGGAAGTGAGATTTACTTGTATGTGTACGTTTAACTGCTACAACTTATTGAAAGACAACTGCAGAAATTTTTCAACTAGTTTTGGAAGAATAGTGCAAAATTTCCATCACTCACAAGATCCCGATATTTTCAGTTGATCCCCGTTATTTGCTTTGTGTGTAAATGTATCGTTCATGCTCCTGCTCAAGTGAAATCTGTTCTCCATGATGTCAGTTTCAAGGATGGGAATGTAATGTACCTGCAGTTACATGTACATGCACCGCTACCCAATATGAAGGAAGATGTTGGGCAACCAATTGCAAAGAAAATAACAAGGTAATTAGTAGTGAGAAGGCCTGCTGTTGGTATTGACATGCACGAGAGATGGCCAGTTCTGATTAAGGCAGTCATGAGCAAAGAGGAGAGGGGGACCATGCACAATGCAAATCGCTTAATTAATGATCAACGTCCATATGTTCGGTCCCCCTATACCATTCCTAATCTGATGTAGCTAAGTGATACCAAAAGTGCTGAAACTTCCAACACCTTTTTCCAGGCATCAACACATGAACTGATGCATAATGAATATATTTTCCATTTTTAGATGAGACAGAAGAATGTTCAGCAGCAAATACATGGAGGAAGTCTTTGGTGTCCCAGGTGTCATCAGTGGAAATGTAATTCGTACCAAGATTGTTCTACAGAAGGACGTCATCAAAATACCAAGATGATCTGAAAAACTGCATATAATAGGACATGAGAAGTATATGTATATCGTCCCAACACCTTTTTCTAAGATTACCGCAAAAAGTATGAATACAATTTTCCGAATTATGCAATGTCTTAGCATTCACAAGAGCCTTATATTTTGTGTTCCCCATGTCTTCTAAAGTATGTTTCGAAATCTTCATGCAAAAAAAAACCACTTCACCGATTTTATATAATTACACAATAATAAAATCTCCTAAAGCACATACAAATGCAGTTTTTCCCTTGATGTTTTATCAATAACAAACGCGCACGAACAAGGAGACCATGGCACGACACTGCCGGAAGTGGAAGGTTGTTAAAGAAATTCTTATTTTACCCATCTCAAGGTGACTTTTCCTAAGTATTACTTTAGGAAAACAAAGTTAAAATTCCAACATGGGTGTTTCAGGGGGTGGTTTCATTTAGGAATCATTATTCCAAAAATTATTGAACATGAGAGGTCAGCCCCCATATAAAAGCCCCATAGGCGGAGCGCGCTAGGGTTCCAGAAGCTCGCTGCGTGACTTTTTACTTTCAGGCTCTGTTGGCTCATGTTCAGTCTTCAGATTTTTGATACTTCAACATTCTCATAAAGCCAAAAGTAAAGGTAATTCATCGACTGGTAGTCTTGGTTTCAAGACGTTAGTGCTTAATAGCGGACACCGTGCATAGTGTGCCCCCTAATGACTCATAGTTAGACTGTGCGCCAGTGTGCGAGGGCGCTCTTCAACACTAATAAAACAACTACCTATCACTGACGTCTTGGGCCAAGACTAATCGACTTGAAGCGGAACAAAAAGTATAGTCCAACTGTGTGTTATCCCAGAATTTGAACTTTAAAAAAGTCAAACGGCTACAGACAGCTTGTAATTTGATACCTTATGGTCTTATCCAAGGGCAGATCCAGAACGTAACGGCACAATTGCTGTTCAAAATAGCATTCCTTGACAGTTTACTATAAGTTCCATGTTGAAATTACTTAATGATGGGTAAAACTTTTTTTTAAGCGCATTAATGTAGGGATCTGGGTATTCCCCAGTTAAGTCAGCGAATTATGTGACCTTTAAACCTTCTGCACGTCTCCAAGGCGTGATTGGGCCCACATACACACTAGAATGTACGTGTATTTTCTTGAAGTCACGCCTGTCGGCCAGAAGTGGCCCTACAATGTTATAATTTTTGGCGTGACTGAAGACATCTAGGGGGCTTCGGCAGAGCTGTGCTGTGCTAGACAACTGGGTGGGTGGACGTGGTAAAGGCTCCCCTGGGAATCACATAGATTGTAGCATGCCTGGCCTCCAATTCCCCCTTCAGTGGCGGACGGACCGCCACCCCCGAGCGATCGGCCGGGGACCGGACCGCTACATTAATAAGTACAGAAACAGATTTATTAGTCACTGAGCAATAAAAGACATGACATAATTTTTAGAATTTGTTTGACCTTTTCTATACTCGAAGTTAAGCTGTAGCTTGTAAAAAGTATTTTTAAAAAGAAATTTTATTGCCACGCAGAGAGACTTGTTTTGTCCTCTCTCTCTCTCTCTCTCTCTCTCTCTCTCTCTCTCTCTCTCTCTCTCTCTCTCTGTGGAAAGAAGGTATCGACCTTGTGTGAAGCTTTAAGCAGAATCAGAGGGCATATATTTGACGTGCACTGCTGTTTGGGCAACCGATCCCATACAAAAGGCGGTTGGTGTCTGTCATCGGGTTAAACCACAAGTCTCAATGAGCCCATCAGGGTCCTCCAGCTCAAGGGTCGACAATTATTATATCAAACAGCGAGTGCTGAAAGTGGAACATCAGTCTCAATTAGGGTTTCTTCGCTGTCAGGCTTTATCTTGCCGATCAAGATACCCGAATCGGACAACTCCCGTAAGGCAAAAACTGCGAAAAATGGGCGATGCAATGCATCCAAACGAGGTCTCGCGTAGAGTCAAATGTTTTAAGCCCCACCCCTTTTCTATGACGTAGGAGTGTGTGGTAGATGATGACAAATGCCTTCAAGAAAGCGGTCAATCGACTTCAATCACACGAAGTTTAGATGTTTCCGTGGCAGGCTTAATTATCGAACCAAGTTGTTGAATGGTGTGCGAGATAAATGCTGGTAGCGATGTGTCATTGCACCGTTTCTGGATCTCGGTACCGAGTGATCTGTTTAGAGGTTTGGGACAATTCGTATTTTCAAAACCTGATTGTAGACTACTCTTGGGAGCACGTGATGACCGCAAACTATGACTTAATTTCTGCATCGATGACACGTGCACATGAAACGTATTTACTGAGTGTAATTTTGTTATTCATTAAGTCGATGCAGGCAGAGGTCCAGCTTTTCCTGTTTATTTGACGAACGTGAGCTTGACAAGTGTCTTACAGTACACCTTATCAAGTGAACTATGAAAATTGTGATGTTGAAAACGCAAGCCATCTAATGGATACATAGAGAAGGTTTCGGGATTATTCACCAGCCTGCAGCACGACGTATTTTCCTTTTTCATCTGGACTGAATTAATTTTTGTTGTTGGGAGACGATGAGTGAATACACGAAGAAATCCTTCTTTATCAGAGACATCTTGGCAGATGGTCTACCCCTGGATCAGCGTTCTCACGATAAGGCGCTACTCGTACACAAACCAGGTATGCCATCTTACAGCGTATCATGATTTTTCTTGCGGTTTGTGAGATTATGAATTATATTGAGTGGATGATTTTATCTTGTAAAGACCATCTGAATAACTGTTTAAATACCTCTGTAACACAAAGAGAATGAGACTTTAATTTCGTCTTCATACATCGTCTAACTCAATTCCAAATTTCGATTTGGAAAAGCCGTCGACGTAAACAGGGCAGTCTAATTTTAATTTGTTGGGATTCTGAAACTTTCTAATTGCAGGAAATTCGTTTCGTGTGGCCAGTCGGTGTCGTATCGAAACAAAAGTTCATTTTGGTTTATATAAGCGCTTTTGTCATTTCCAATTCAACAGTATTTATTTGCTAGTATAAGAACCTCTAGGACAAACAATTTATGGATATTTCTACGTTTTCTTATCACTCCTCATAAAGTAAAAAGGTTGGTTACTTATACGGCAAGATACTTGATCAAGAAAGATACGAGCCACTTGAAGTTAAGGATGGTGCAGTATGTACAATAATAAATTATTTTGTCTGTCTATACGCGAAAGAAAGGATTGCCTAATTTGTACTCCTTGTTTAATGTTAATTTTTGACACATGGGAGAAGAGTCGTAAAAACAGCTTTTGAGCTACATGCATTGTTTGGCGTGCACAACGGTTTATCCTCTGTACGAACCCAGGGCGAGGGATTCTCTCATTTTGTCATCAATGACGCAATCTACATTCAGAATTCGCATCTTGGCATGAACAGAAAAAGGTCCTTTTAAGCTTGTTGTAGTTGTGCTCTGAAGACAAAGGACAATGCGTTCAATTTGGATGCGTTCATATTTATTCGAAGATAAAATCAGGGGAGATATGTTTTCCTTAGAGGTGTGCTTTAAAGGACGTGACACGTTTTGCGACTGTTACGATTAAGATAAAAAGAAACGATATGCAATATCCAAGAACGAATTTTCATTACAATGCCAATCGCCACACGACACGAATTTAGTCATGTTATCACGTTTAGGCCAAATTCGAATGCTTCACATTTAATGCATATTAATTGAAATTTGCTAATGAATTGTTCAAATCGAAATCAGTTGGGATTGAACTCGTCAGTGATTTGGGAAGTAAATTAATGTATCATTCTTATAAATTTGCGTTATAAATGTCTAAATAAGTTTTTATTTTGTGCAAAATGTACACAAAACCTGATTAAAAGCTTTTGAGATTCATGCAAAGATGTGCGCAGCTACACGTGTTTACAAGTGTTGCAAAGAGTTTGCTCCCATTCTTAACATCTCACAGAAGTGTGATCGCAGCGAAACGGTAATGTGACGCAGTCACGTCATTTTTTTCCCAAACAGCTTGACTTTTCGCGTAAATGATGAAGCCGTCAGTGTGCTAGTAAAGAAGTAGAAGAATGTAGTTACTGTCGCGATATAGTAATTAACCCCTGCGAGACACAACCGTCAGAAACATTTGCTAGTTTTTATTGCTTCAAATCACCTTCATCATTCTATTTTAAAAAGAGAAACATGCGTGTTTTCATGTCATTGACTTTTGAAAATAATCTATTTTATTAGAACATCCCAAATATAAGAAGTCCTTTCAAGTCTGTTTCTGCAGGTGTTTTCTTTTTGTTAATTTTATAACTCTTAGAAGACACTCGTCTTTAATTTCCAGATGATTACCCTCATACCCCTCTTAATTTAAGATGAGGTGCTGAGGAAGTTGGGACGTAATGAACACTTCTTAAGTTTGGTGAAATCGATCACACGACAAGTTGCGGAGTTGCGAGATATGGCAGGATACCCTTCCTGAGACATCTATTAGTGTTTCGTGAAATTGGCTCCCAGGTACAATCTTACTGTTCATGTAATCATAAGAGGCTGTTGTCGTAGACCGGCCGGACAGGGTTCCACCCCTTGACCCCTTTACAACCTAGGGTTTGACGCTGCAGTGAAGATGACTTCATTTGCAACTGTCGGGCACCATCTTTAATTCCAGCTCAACATCCATCCAAACTTTTCACAAGGAGAGCTACAAAAACAGTTACCATGTACGCCTCTTTGGTGGATTGACACAAAGATTTTTAATTTCCTAACAAGATTGAACAACTGAGTTGAATTAATGCAATTTGGAATAACTGTCATTGGTTTAGAATTCTGGTAAAATATTCAAATAAATCTTACAAAACTAACACTTATTGGCAGATGTTTGCATCGTTGGAAGTTAGTATCCAACTTGTATAAAATGAGTTGCATTGGATCACTTTCCTGCGGATAGGGAGAGCGTAAAATGGGATTTTATGGGATTGTTTTTGTTTTGTTTTGTTTTTTTGTTTTTTTTTTAATTAAGTAAAGCTTCAACAGATATGGAACCAGAAAACTCGTTTTTACTATGTTTATATATATATACTCGGACATCATCAACATGATTACCAAAGAAGTTGGAAAAGTCACACTCAAGGCCTATATTGTACAGAGGGCAGCAATATTTCAGGGCTGTTACAATAACATGGGCATAATATTTAGGCTTCTTGCCATACGTTTGTAGGTCCAACATCTTGGAAATCTAAAGGTCTGTATTGTATTTTCCAAGTGATTTAAAGATCAGTGAATTACCAATCATCGACACGTGTTTTTTAATCATCTCTGCTTGCTCTCGGGTCAACTTGACATTCGAGTTGCTGTGATTACTACGGATTGTATGTTGGTTTTGCACGGGAGCTGAACGTTCACGAGAAAAATAGGGCTAGATTTCGTGATATCTTGACAGAATTTGAAACCATCTTTTTGGACTTTAACATATCTTAACAAGTTATCTTGAAATGAATTTCCAGATATACATGTACCAGGCCTATCTATAATCAATTCACCAATAACTTCATAACATTTAGAGGTGTACCTTCACATGGATATTGAAAGTATTGAATTCCCTTTCGCCCGTGAGAGTTCCATTCCAAGTGTATTATTTTCTGTTCAGCTATACCGGATCGCGTTTATAAATCAAGTGTTTTGCATTATGTCCCCGAGTCATTTTATCAGTGTTTATGTAACACGCCAAGAGTACCTTGTGTAGAGTATCATATTCAACATCATTCATTAAAAAAATATTTATTTTTTAGGAAATGGCATTTTGTGATAACATGGAAATTTTCCTTAAATTTTACCTGCACGTACCCCCCCCCAAAATTGTAAGAATGTGTTTACAATGTTCCACTTGAGTTAAAGGAACAAAACATACAAAGCCCAAATCTTACCTGACAAAACCAAACCAACTCTACAAGCAAAATACTCCTTACGACAAAATAGATCTACCGTGAAGTGACTGACCTTGACCTTACTTCAAGTAATATGTAAATGATAAATTTTTAATCAAATGTTTTGTAATTTCCTGCTTACTTTTTCGGGTTATTCGTGATTATTTTTTGAATGGCATCCATGACAATTTTATTTTTCCTGCAGTCTGATGTGGGTGGGTGCATAATTTTTTTTTGTTCCTACAGCCTCAGATTATGATTGAAATGAGTAAATCTTTGTTGTCAGACCCGATGCGTTTTGTCGAATTTTACTGATAAAATGGTTCTATAAGTAGCCTCTTCCAGGGAACTATGCATTTTTATGACAGCAATATTAGGTAACAAATTTGCCCATGGAGTGGGCAATGACATGGTGAGTCAAAAAGTTTATTTTGATTGTTATTTGTAAACTTGTGTTTCCCGAGGAAAAATATAAAAATGGTACCCAAACTTTTGATATTGGGTTTTTCCATTAATTTCAAATGGAATAGTGTGAAGACTGTTGACTTGCCTGCCCGGAGTCCCTCCTTGCCTCGCAGAGGCTTGTTTGATAACTTGTACCATTGGATGTATTAACACTGATAACCCAGGATCACTAATGAAAATAAAGAGCCAAGGTTTAGATGATCAAGTTT